TTCTTAGTTTTCTTTTAGATATTACAATAAGTTGTTTTACATTTTGAGCTTTTAAGGGACATATGTCCCTACTAGTTATTCATTAAACTAGTTAAAACATAAATAAATATCCACTATACCCATGATTTTCAATGGGGAGGGGATACAAAATTTAAAAATACCCCCTAAATCAATGTAAAAATAATATAAAAATAATATACAAATAATTTTAACACAGTTTGAGAAAATAAACCTACTACATGGCTGTGGGCTGTACACAGCCATGAGGTAAGCCAAATAAATAATTAAGCAAATCAGAGTTTAGATATGGTTTACAAACTCAAAGCATACAATTATTAGGTATCAATTGTCTTTGTCCTACATGTTCTTTTTGATGCCTTCTGTATATTGTTTCATATCTTGATGATAAAGTTTGGAAAGCTATTTCACAAAATGAGAGTATTAGTTTTTGGCTTTTTAAAGGTAGTTCAATATTTTTGTTTTTTGAATATTAATTAAAATTGTCCGTAAACAAGTGTGAGTATATGTAATAAGAGATTTATCTACTTTCAATTAAGATAGTATAGTTTGTATATTGGCAATTAATGTTCTTTTCATTACTCTACAGACGAAAGTACACTTTTTTAAAACGTAAAATGAGCTAAGAAAATAGGTTTTTCGCTACACTACTGTAAAATGACATGTTTTTCGTTGTATGTTTATCACCTGCAAAAATCTTTTATTACATTGTTTACTACGACAATAGTATATTTTGTACCTAGGGCCAAAAATGAGGTTTTGCCGGCTCGGGGTTTTTAAGTTCTTGACTTCGTCTCGAACTTAAAACGACCGAGAGCTGTAAAACCATTTTTGGTCCATGGTACAAATACTATTTTTCACCACACTACTACTACTTACAAACTCAACTTTAAGGTTATGTGAAGAAGTAATTTAAGGAATCAGCAAAAATAATAATAAACCGTTGCTAGGCATCGGCGAAAATAAGACAATTCTATTGCAATGCTATGGATACTGTTTGTGTATTTGATATGCAAGCGGGCAGCTAATTTTGCGGCCCTAGGGATGTAAAAACCTGCTCGGTCCCCAAATGACGATGACAGCTGGCATGGTCAGCAAAACGTAACTTTCAGCCTTTAATTAACGTATGTAAAACAGATAGCCTAATAACATCATAGTGTGGTGAAAAAGATTTTTTACTATGCGAAAGTATATTTACTATTTTTTTTTTTTTTTGCCGATGTAAACAAACAATAATATTTGTTATTGTTTATCAACTGTTTCAAATTTCAACAACTAAAAGTTAACTTTAAATTAACTTTAAACTTAAAATTAACTTTAAATTGAAGGCATAACCTAAAAAAATCTATGAGTTTTGTAGTGAAGATATACAGGATGAGGCAGTGAGAGCACCCCAATTTTCTTTTGTTGTCACACTATAAGTAAAGCCACAATTAATGAACAGCTGTGCTTATAATATCAATTAAACTATGCCATTTTAGTAAACATTATGCTTGAGGCTATTAAGACTGAGATTTTGATGTGGAAACCCATTATTAAAATAGGGATTCTTGTGCAAAAACCCAGGGATTGTTTGGACCACATTCCATCCTTGGTCAATATGGTGCTGTTCCAAATAGGAAAACAACGGTGAATTGGGTAAAATTATTTAGTATAACAGCTTAAAACAAAAAAATAATCGGCTGGTGCCACGAAACCCTTTGTACACCAGCAAATTTTGTAAGAGTGTGAGCCACAGTAACTCGAAGTCCGAAGAGATTTGCCAGGAAGCTTTTGTTGTTGAAAGCTTTACGTTGGCTCTTTTTTTTGGGGGGGGGGTTATTCTGATAAGCTACTTCAGTTCGAGGTTTTTCTAAAAAGTCGCCCCACAGATTTGCTTAAACCGAAGCTAAGAATTGTCCAAAACTAAAGTGATTCCTGAAGAAATGCTGGAGGAGTATTTGATGGAGTTTTTAAGTGACTAAAAATGAATGTCAAGTAGGACAAGGACTTACTATCAAGATTTCTATTTCAAGGAATTCTATCTTGCAGGATTTTGTTTTCAAGAAATGAAAAATGACTTTGTTAAGATCAATTGGCAAAATATAAGCTTTGTTTTTATGTGCTATTTATATCTATTGGGTGAATATGTTGAATTTATAATATAATGGAGTTAGTACAATTTATAAATTGGGCCCCTTTCATTGCCTCACCCTGTAGTATTTTTGGAGTAGAAATTGGGTCTACATATTCTCGACCATTTAAAGTGCTCGATAAATCTCACACTTCAAACGTGATCTAAAATATGCAATTTTTTGCAGACTTGCTACTCTTGTTTTGAAATATACTAATTGACCGATCAGCTGTTGCATTCGACACAAGCACGGAAATTGTTGTAAATTTAACGTGGACAGTAAATCTAATATTCAAAATTGTAATTGTAATGTGTACAGTTCATAAAATGTAAATTGTACTTAAAATTACATACAAAACTAGACCAAACCACGCACGATTTATGTTCGTTGAAATATACAGAGTGTTTGATATAACTGTGCCAGCTATTCTATTCAAAAGTTTTAAGAGATATGACAAAACTTTTAATCGTAACTACCTTGGATTTGTTATGAAAAAAATAGTTCAAGTTGAAAAAATAATTTTAGCCACCATTTTCCAATATGGTTGCCAACTTTGATTTTTCTTTTGGAAGACCCATATTTTATGATTGTTTTAGAAAGTGAGTGCAATTTAAAAACGTTTTCATTCCTGGCATTTTTTCTCTAAAGCTATTCATTTAGGAGTTACAGCGTGTTACAACTAAGAAAATGACTTGCGAGGAGTTGCGGTGTACATTTTGCATCATGTAGCGCCTAAACAAAAACGTTTGGAGCGAAAATGCAAAGAGTAAATAGTCTTAGAATTAATTGCATCTGTATTCTAAAAAGACTATAACATACACCGTTTTCCTGTTTTCAAATTTCCCTGCCATTTTTGAAACTGGATTCAATATTTGTTATGCATGTTATGGTATTTTTAGAATCTAGATGCAATTTTAAGAATTGTTTACTTCTTGCATTTTTGCTCTAAACGTAGTCGTTTAGGAGATACATGATGCAGAATGAACACCGCAAGTCATTTTTTCTTAGTTGTAGCACGTTGTAACTCCTAAACGAGTAAGTAGCTTTAGAGAAAAAATGCCAAGAATAAAAACATTTTATAATTGCATTTACTTACCAAACCAATCCTAAAATATAGGGTCTTCCATAAGAAAAATCAAAGTTGGCGGTCATATTGGAAACATGGCGGCTAAAATTATTTTTTCAACTTGACCATAAAAAAAATAAATCCTAGACATTTACAGTTTAACATTTTGTTATATCCCTTATAACTTTCGAATAAAATAGCTGGCACACTTATATCAATCACCCTGTATATAAAAAAGGGCTTAGAGTATTCCCGAAAATATGACCTCATTTAAGCATAGATAAAAGGAGTATGTCTACTCCTTTTTAGCGAATTTCCCCTATAGGGAATAAGCTATTACCGTAGTACTCATGGTAAGACTTAAACTCGGGCCGATTTACTTTTTCGTTTTGAGGTCCCTAGAGACCAAAAACACCATCCGTTCAAATTCATATACTGTATATATATGTGTCCGTTAGCGCGATAACTCGAGCAAAAATCATCCGATTTTGATGAAATTTGGTACAAACGTGTAAACCTACATTTATTCGAACGAGTTCACGAACCAGCATGATCGGACTATGGAAACAGGGGTTTATGGGGGGTTTTTTGGAGTAAAAATAGGGTTTTCCCATTTTTGACCCTAAAAACTTAAAATTTAGCATTTTCTTTCTAAATCATTTTGTAGAGCTTAAAAAAACAAATAATTTAGTATATTGAAGCAATATTATGCGCTTAATGGTTACGAAGAAAATTCAAAAAACTTTAAATTAAAAATTCCCATGTTATTCTTATGGAGAATAAGTAAACTGTTGTAGTTTGTTTGTTTATGTTCATATTTTGATCACATTTGGAAAATGCATTCATTTCATACCAAACTATTACATTTAAAAAAAAAACAAACACCTTTTTACCCTCCCTGTTTCAGCAAACCTAAGTACTCGTTAAACTAATGTTATTTAAGGCTAAACATCCCTGAAAAAGTTGTGTTTCTGGCCCGATAGATAGCAGCACCTCTGCGGAAAATTTGTGCCACTTGTAATTTCCGTATTTATTATCCGATTTTTGTTTTGTAAACGGTTTTGTAAATGATACGAATAAGACATTCACGCTATTTTGCAAATTCTTTTTTACATTTATTAACAAAAAAGTTTAATTAAGAATTTTTTTTGCTATGATTATTTTTAGAAATCGCAGGTAGTCATTTTGTAAAGAAAATTTTTTTAAGAATTTTTCCGTTTTCAGATATTAATTCGGTCAAATGGTCGTTTCGGAATCGTTTTTTAAAGAAATTATTATTATTTCTCTCGCGCTCCGGTCCCCTCCCCCCCTCCCCCACGGAGCGCAGCCGCTCTGCCCGGCCCTCCAACGCGACTGTAGCTTCGTCATCTCACACACACCTTGCATTCATACTCTGACCGGACATACTTACTAGACTGGACTACTGATTTCGACAGATGCTAGTTGATGATTTTAAAACAAGTATTTTCTGGTCAGTTGGAAAGATACATCTACAACAAATATATAAAAATATAAAGTAGTTCAAATTAAAGGATGTATAAAAGTAGGCACATACAGGTTTATTAGGCCATACATTATTCAATAACACCAGAGTATGAATAATATAACCCTATACTAACCTGTAACGTTAAATTATTACATAGTTAGTTATTTGTTTGAAATAAAACTTATAGTTACATGAAAACGAGAAAAAAATATACAGTGGTGGAAAAATACATTGATACAAGTGGCAGTCATAAAATGGGCAGCTTCATCAATATACAATACGTACAATATACGACAATATACAATTTTTTCAAGGATATACACGGTGCATATTTTGATCTACTATTTGGCCATTTAATGTTCATCAAGTTTGAATTCAGGAAGAGAAATGTTCGGTTCTCGTATCGGCATACTCCGGCAGGTTCTGGGGTCGACTATTTCTGGAAGAAGAGCGCATTTGTAGAAGAAACATAAAGGCTTCTCCATTTTTTCCTTCCAAAACTTATCGTCCCGCTCAATTGCTTCTATGTGGATGTCCTTTTTAGTCCAAACAACAAAGTAGCACCTTCTTTTATTGGAAATATGCAATTGCCCTTGAACCTAAAAACAAAAAAGGTGAAAATAAAAAAAATATGGTTATAATATTTAATATTTTTTTTCAGTAAGCTGTTGACCTTGAACCTAAAGAATTATAACGATTGTCATTTGTACTATCGTGATATTGTATTATCGTTACAATATACTGAGCATTACCTTACTATCTATTATATCGTGATATTGTATATAAACGTAACTGAGAATTATCCGACTCATACAGTTATGATTATGGGTTGATAAAGGATTAGGATACTTTAAATTTGTTAGTACAACAGTTACAATCTGCTTAGTCCTTTTATGTTACTCAATTTTAAATTACAACCAGGTAAAGTTTTAGTGTTACTGTACTGGTAATCACGGGTGGTTCCTAAAAACATTCATGGGTCGAATTGTGGTTAGTTAGTAGTTTTTATTGTTTTAATCACCCTTAATAAACATATTATTTTATGTACGAATTATATGTTAGTTATGTGTGTTTTTATCCAAACAATTAACTTTTAGTGTTCGAGTCTACCTTGGTCCAAATTACCGTGCTTATTTTTTATTATTACTATTATTATTAGTCCGGACTTTGTAAGGAAGTCATTTACCTGATAATAGTAATTGTGGTTTCTTTTCAATTTAATATCATTAGACGATTTACAAGGTGCCAAACAAAAGCTCTTGATTTGCTTTACTGCTTCAGGTATGGTCAACAGTTCCGCAGACTTAGGGCACTTAACTTCAACGATGTCTTCTTCTCCCACCACACCATCTGGAGAAGCTGCTAGGAAGTCGATCGCTTTATCAACAAATAAACCGCAAGGAAGTACTTTTGTGTTGAGTTTGTCTTCAAAGCACTGTATAGCAGCAGATTCATTGAGTTCTCCATACATCATAGCATCTGTTGAAATTTTATTGTAGAGCAATTGTTTTACAACAGGTGCCCACAATGATTTAGATCTTCGCTTGCAGATTAACCCGAAATTTGAAGCAGTCAGTCGAACTTTCCTCTCTTCTAGCCAACGACTATTTTCTCGTTGTCCACGGGTCGCAACTTCAACCAAAGCTTTTTCCTCGTCGTTTAAGGCTAAAGATTTCAAGAGATCTGATTTTTCTGCCTCAAACTCATCATCATCTAAGTCAAGTCTTTGGCAGAAGCTTCCATAATCTTTGGCACCTGACATTTCCTTCTCATCTTTTCGTGATACTGTGCTTTTGTGTCTAACCTCCTTCCTTTTCCTCATCAATGCCCTCCTACATGTGATCAGCCGTTTCGTTCGCCTCAATCCAATTTTCTTCACCAGAAGCGCGGGACTCCTTTTTAAATGTGATTTCATGCTTCTGTAATGCCACATTGGACCGTACTGGAAATCTAATGCGGCAGCCCTCGCTCTGAAAGTAAAAGAGCCCCTCTTGCATCGATTAACTTGCTTCCCACCAGTAAACTTTGCCACTAATGACATATAGTTTTCAGCTAGGTTGCTAGTCTGGTTCTCCCATAGCAAGTTAGCCCTTAGAAGTACAGGCGTTAGGGCTTCCAACACCTTATTAGCCACCAGAAGGCTAGTACCTTCAAGTTCTTTCCCAGTACCAACAGCCTTACAAAAATAAGGCTTGCATCTAACATGGTTTCCTAGGACATGGAAAGGGCTGTTCCTGAGGTCTGCTTTCAACTCTTCGATATTTTTTTCGCTGGAGTGGTGAATAATCGCCCCTCGTGCTGCTGCCTTCAGTCGCTTTATAATGTTAACACTCAGGATTCTTTTCTCTGTGTTGCCATTCTCTCGCAGTTTGTATAGCCTCTTTGTGTAGTTCTTGATTATGTGGTTTGTACATTCAACTTTTTCTACGAAACGACCGTAGGGCACCATCTCTCTAACTTTCTGGTGCACACTAGAATTGCCATCTCCTATCATTTTTCTGTACTGAACACCATGGATCTTTTGACTGGAATTAAAAGCCTCCACTAACATGTCTGACTCCATTGAAGCGCTAGGTCCACTCCAGTTTTTAAAACATTTTTCATGTTCAGTAGTGGCTCCTTTCTTTTCTAAGTGTGCACACATTGAGCAGTACTTGTTTCTCACATCTATGTGAAGTAACTTCTTGGTGCGGAGTCCAATGACACAAGCGACTCCAGAATTAGCTGAGTATCTGTGACCATGGCTACGATGAGACCATCCTCCATCCACTATTACCGTTATGAACGGAATATTATTCTTCGTCACATCACCGTTCTCTATAGCCAATTTCTTTTCCTCAATGCCAGCTTCAATCATTGAATCGTACAAGACATCTTGCCATACCTTTAAAAAAAAAATATTACTGTAAAATCAACTTATAGAATTCATTAAAAAAAATACATTAAAATAAGTAAATAGTTTGACTGCTAAGATTGCCGGGAGTTTATATTTATCAAACTTTTGCCCGCCAAACCCACTTTCGACCTGACCTCGGCCTACTAGGAGGGGATTTGGCATACGAAAGTATGTATCATCTGGTGTCGTTTGATTCATAACGAAACGACAAAAGTCCTCCAAGTAAAAAAAAAATCATACTGGCTCATATCATGAACTGTTAGGCCTACTAAGTGATAAATGTTTCGTACAATGTATCGTGTTTTGTGTATTTATTTAAATGTTTTTTGACGAGTCTACAATAGACGAAACGTTCTTGAAGGACCACTTGACAATGCCTATGTATAGGCGAAACATGTGGGTTTAACCATACATCTATGAACTGTGTACGGGAAGGTATGTACCTTAAATTTTAGTCTAATCAACAGTTCAGGGGCTACACAATGAATTTTAATTCATGAACTGGCTCTTTCAGTTCATCAGCCCGGCACTCTATCCACTATACCACCGAGGCCGATGGCATCATGCCGTAGCGTTGCGGTAATGGTGTTCCCTCAGCCAATCAGAAGCCTCCAAATTACAACTGGCGAGCTGGGCTGGAGGGAGGGTAGAAGTTTAGCTCCCGAGCTGATTTGGTGGGCAGGGACTAGCCGCTAGTGCCACAGCGCGCTGTGGCCTCCGGATAATACCTAAGTACCCAGTACCCTTTTCGTAACTAAATTCATTAAAAACAACTAAAATAACCCCCATAATATAATTTAAAGAACCATACCTGTCCTAGGCGTTCTTCTGCTGTTCTAAAGGCCTTTTCACTGATTGGTGAAATGTCAATCGAAGATAAAACTTCTTCCATGTTTCTGTGCCCAGAACCGATTGATGAAAATCCCCATACTATTTGGTCTACAAGAGGCAATTTTGATAGTGATTCTGGCAGGGAACTGTTACTGTCACTCGATGCAATTAGTTGCTTTGGTTCACTGTTAATTATCCTTTCTTTAAGGCAATAAGGACACCGAAACTTAAGACTCCATTCCAGTAATTTACTACTGGATGCAACTAATGCCATGTATCCGTTACAGTTTTTTTCACATTCAAACCTATGGTAATCCAGTGACCTTATTTCTTTGATAAAGTGTCTGCCATCAACAATATATCGTCCAGAAATCATTTCCACATCATCCCTCGGAGGCCTTTGATCAGGTTCTACGACCAACTCGTCAAATTGTCTGCAATAAATGTCAACACGATAAATATTGTCCACACCTATGTTTGGTTTATAACACTTGTTAAACATTAAACTTAAACACGATACATTTAATAATATGCGAAAATTACACCACATAACAATACAAGTAAATAAAATTACCTTTCAGAAATTTCCCCCAAAATCTCGCTTTGTACATCCGGAATTTGTTCCACATCGGGGGTTTTGGCACAAACGGTAAAAGTATCCGGATCGCTGGAGATAGACGTAATGCTACTTGTAATGGAACTTATTGCCAATTCATTTGCATTATTTCCCATCCGTTTCCTGTAAAGTTGTAATACACATTAGTAATGGTAATTAATTAATGTATACTGTATTCAAATACTGGAACACTTGTTAAACATTTAACTTGATCACTGTACATTTAATAATATGCAAAAATTACATCATATAACAATACAAGTTTATGTAATTACCTTTCTGACTTTCCCTCCATAATTTCGCTTTGTACATCCGGAATTTGTTCTACATCGGGGGTTTTGGCACAAACAGTAAAAGTGTCAGGATTGTTGGAGATAGGCGTAATGCTACTTGTAATTGAACTTACTGCCAATTCATTTGCAGTAGTTTCCATCCGTTTCCTGTAAAGTAGTAATAAACATTACTAATGGTAATTAATTAATCTAAATTAAAATACTGGTATTCTCTCAAAACGTATTGGGTAACTCACAAAAACCAATTCAATAACTTGATGCCTAAACAGACAGTTGTATCAAATATTTCTATTATTGCGGCCGTTGCCATATTCATTTCCTGTTAGACCGCTTGAAAACTTACAACAACCAGGATCACGGTTAGCTCAGAGGTAGGGTACAGTTGTCGCAGCGAGTCTGGGCGCGCGGACCCTTGTGTACTAACCGTCCTCCACGCCAAAGCCATGAAGACAGCAGTGAGGCGCTGAACAACCCCAGAGAGCCGTGTGGGCCAGATGTTTTTGGAAATGAGCAATAAACACTCCCCTCTACACCCCGCACCCTAGCGCGGCCGCGCGCCCAGACTACCTGCGACAACTGTACCCTACCTCTGAGCTAACCGTGATCCTGGAACATGCGACTACTGTACGAGATTCGTAATGCAAAGGTATGGGGTTCGAGACCCATCTGGGGAGAATATTTTTTAACCATTTTTCCCCCAAAAAATAGTTTTATGAACTAGACCTACCTATTTCAACGACATACTCAACTCATAATAATATATTAATGAATTAATAAAATATGTTATTAAATATAATAATAATTTATGAAATAATGGCTTGTTTTGCGCAAGTAAATGTTTTATAAGACTGTTACTTGTATTTTATTTTTCTAAAAAGTTCATGGGTACTTTAGGGTTTTATAAATGGATAGGCCTAACTGTTTTAAAGAGTGTTTATGTAGTTAGCTCTTCCAGTTATTCAACAGTTACTTTTGCAACAGCACTTACTTTTTAGCAAGCCTCCACTTCATCAGTTGTAAAGGAACCCTTCTCCTTTTCCTATAACTTCTTTTCTTCCCTTCTTTATTAGGGGTGGAGGTCATTCTGAAAAAAAAATCAAAATGTCTAATTGTGAATATTTCCTAAAGTATTTTTTTAAAGCTGTATTTTTCAAGCCTATGGCAGCAAATCTATACTACGTTCTCTGTTACTCTCCAAAAATATTTTTATGTTTACTAAAACCTTTGACTTGTAGAAATTAAACAAATGAAACTAATATTTTACATAATTTTTAAGCAAATGAAACTCTATTCTTAACATAAGTTATTTACACTACAAAAAAAACTTACTGAGGAATGAATTCATTGGAAGATGTAGCTGTAGTAACTGCCACGACCTCAGAGGATGTTGGATTTATCTGAACCACTGGTTCTGTTCGTGTAGATGTTGTCAGTTCTTCACTGAAAGAAGTAAATGCGGAAGGATTAGGATTCGTCATAATTCTCATACATAAAGTAACAGTTGTTATCATGTTAAACGTAATTTGTCTTAATATTCCTTCCCGTATAAAAATATACCTTACTTATTAAGACTCAAATTACTGTTCAATATTTATATACAAAACTGTACTTTTTTGTAATCAGTTATCACGAATGCAGTAACTATTTTTTTCATCTCATATAATAAATTTATTACTGTCATTGGAATTAACTAAATTAGACACAATGTATTAAATATAAATGTATAAGGAGATCAAATCGGATGTATAACTGTTTGTTTGTTTGTATGTATATTTCACCTACCCACTTAGTAGTAGCTAGCCTACATTGCTTGTTATCACTGAAATTATTATATAAATTAAAACTACTTTACCCCAAATCGTGTTGAAGGTAAATCAGGAACAATAATTAATTATTTTCTTATATTCGCTAACATTTGTTAAAAGTTATTATATTACATCTATACGGAGCGATTATCCAAGTTATGTATGAATAACCAAATTATGTTTTTTTTTATATAGTTTAGCTAATACGGAGTATGTTTTATCTGTGCTAATACTAACCTTCGAGATTTTATAGCAGTGAGCAGAGCTAGAGGCAGTCTGCGCTTTTTCCTCTTCGTTGAGAGCCTAAGCTGCTTTTTAGATTTCGTTGTTCCTCGGCGATCCATTGAGAAAACAAATGTCACACGAAAAAACGTTCTCAATAACACCAATTACAAGGCGACGCAATGGTACAATAAAGAAGATTCGCTGCAGAGCACGTGGATGGAAGCGCGGGAAACCACCATCCACCTGTGTACCGTAGTGTAGTGGGGTCTTGTGTGTACACCCATGCCGTCTTGTGGTGGGGAGGGGTAGCGAATGTGAGTGTGACCTTGGAATGAGTCACAGCGGCCGTGCCCTGCACCGCTTCAT